CCACCAGCTTCCTCCGTTATTCTTCCCAGCTTAGCAACCACTCTCCTCTACATGCTGGAGAGAAATGGGAAGGAATGGGTGAGAAATATATGTGCTCATGTATTCCAAAAATGCATCACGAAAAACCAAGTAAATGGCCCGAGAGTTTGCCACAGCCGCCCCTTGCCCATGTGCAGACAGCAAATGGTGAACGTGGACAGCCTGGTGCTTCCTGCTCTTCCTGTCCTTGCGCCCCTCTCTCTGCCTGCACCTTCATTCCCAGCCCAGCCTCTCATTTCTAAGTGTGCTCCCAGACGGCTCAGCTCAGCTCAGCACACAAAGGAACCCCGCAATGCTGAGCGGAAACGTATGGGTCCTGGCAAGCGTGGAACACGCTGTATTTAGCGGGTTTCTGATTTGGAGGTAAAGAGCGAATGTCACGTTTTCTTTTCATTTTAATGCTAAGATGACTGCGACGAAGGCCTAGTCTAGAAATTATAACTCTTCTCTCATGATTATTCCCTGGCTTCCCAAATCAATGCAAGCATAGAAGAGGCATTATCATGGGGAGCAGCCGATGGGTGCAGGCGCCCAGGTAGAATGCCATCACCAGCAGAAAACAGCGCAAGCTTGCAAGCAACCGCTCAGCTGCTTCTCACCGCGCTTCCTGGGGTGCGGCGATTTATTTCTGGTTCCTTCCTGTTAGACATGATTAGCTGGTTGAGGGGCTCATCAAGAAGAAGGGTCCTGGCATTGCTGTCCGCCCCTGTCTGGGGAGGGTTCTTGGAAGGCACTGGGAAGAGTTGAACACATCGCCCTGGGTGAAGACGTTAACGTACATTCCTAACATGGTGCTGATTGTACAGTGGCCAACCTGTCCTGGTTTGCCTGGGACTGTCCTGGTTTTAAAACGGAAAGTCTCGCATCGCTGAAGCCCACTCAGCTGCAAACCAGGGGAGCTGGTCACCCTGTGTGGTTGGCACAACCCCACTAGCTATTGAGAGCAAAACAACCCAGTTCCTCTCCGCTCCTGGCTTTTCCAGCAGTCTCTCTCTGATGCCAGCTTTCTTTCAACCTTTCCCTCCGAGGTCATTCACGGGTTCCCCCCTCTTGGAGTTCCCAGGACTCTGTCACTCCAGAGCCTTAGAGCGTCCCCACTCTCTTTACTTGGGCTCCCTTTGTGGACTCCTCTTTCTGACTTCTCCTCTCCATCTCCCTGCCTGCCGCTACACACATACACACTCACATATACACACACACACACACACACTCATGCACTCACACTCATACACAGGCACATATGCGTGCACACACACATTCACACACACATGCACACACGTGCTTACACACATGTAGGATGCATGCACAAAGCTACGTCCCCACTCACTGCCTCTCCCCACAGACCTCCTCCCGTGTCCCCTCTGCTGAAGGCCTCCCTGGGGCCTGAGCCTCTCTCCGGGCTTCGGGCTGGACACCCCCTCCTGGTCCGGTTCACGCCTGGTCAGTGCCCAGCAGCTGCAGCCCCCTTCCTCCCTCACTAAAGCTGAGCTCTGGAAGGGGAAGGAGCTGCCCTCCACCTCTGTGCCCCACACCCCAGAAGCCTAGCCGAGTTCCTGGCATGAATCCCGAGCGCAGTGCATGCCCGTGGAACTAAATAAATCGGCCCTGAAATCATGGGCTTCTCCCACAGGCTGGCAGGGACGTTCCACCGTTGCCTGGGACTCCTCTCACCTGAGGACACCCGCTCCTTCTCCACCTGCATGGTAGTGGATTCCATCCACACCCGCTGATGAGCGGGAGCCACCCCTCCAACACACGTTGCAGGAAAACCGCGTGCTTCCTGCCCTGGGAACTGGCTGCCCACCCGGCAGTGGGATCCCACTTAGAGGCGCCCCTCCCCTTGAACACACACACACAAGCCCTCCCTCTACCCTTGTTTCTCACCTTCGGCCAGATCTGGAGGGCTCGGGCGCCTCCTCGGATGTCACTAGGTGGCGCCATGTGGCAGTCCCTGGGCCCCGCGGGGGCTGGATGGGGCCAGCAGCCCAAGCCGGAGCTGCGGATCGGCAGGTGGGGATTCCCGCCCTGGAGGCCGAGGGATCTGGGACAGGCCCGTCTTCGTAGGTCTGGCCTCCGCTGCATGCCCTCGAAAAGACAATGTGGGGTACGAAGCAAAGGTGCTAAAAGCCACTGGCAGAGGAAAAAGAAGAAAATCATTGCTGCAGCCTTGTGAAATGAAGGCTGCGGGGACGTCATGCAGTCTGTGGCTTACACCAGACAGTTACCTGTGCACCTGACTGCAAGGTGGTTATGATTCTTTCATCACTGAGAACTACTGTTTTTCTGGGGCAACTTATTTTAATAAAAACGAGTGGATTTACCCACGACTAGAAAGATCCTGCGTCGCCTTCAGGGCTGGGGTTGATCGCTGCCGTGTGTTTATTTGTGGAATCCAGGCTGTACGCTTCAAATCGGGCCATCAGTCTTCGTCTCTCTCGCTGCTGTTCTTCGTCGTGGGGCACACAGAGACCACGAGGTTCGTGTTTGGTGAGGTCGTTAACAGCAGAAGTGCTCTGCTTCGTGCTTCCCAGCTCACCGCCTCGCAGGCTGTGAGAGGGAGAAGCGACACATTAAATTAGCCGAGAGGCTGAAATGGGAGGTGTTGCGGTCATCACCACGGACAGATAAGGAACAAAAAGAGAAAGTTAGAGATGCAGTCGGTGAGCCAAACCTTCCCGTGGAAAAACACAAGCCACAGCTGCAGGAGGGACGAGGCATGCGGGAAACTCAGGAAATGGAGAAACCTGGAAAGCTGCAGTGCGAGGGGGCGATTTATGGGGTGAGAGCAGATGGCTGTGCAATGTGATATGACAGCTAAGTCAGCGCAAGCGGCTCAGCCCTCCTGGCCCACGCTGCCGGGCCCTGCCACGGGGGGTCATCTGTGGACCAGACCGCTGCCACCTAGTGAGCATCTATTGCGTGTCAAGGACTTAGCACACGGTCGTGCCATCCCCACAGACCCTGCAAGGAGGCCAGAGCCAGCAGGGAGGCCACAGCTCAGAGAAGTGAGAGAGCCAGGATCCCAGAGCTGGAAATTTAACCCAATTTAACTGCACCAACGCAGTTCCAGAATCTTGTGAGTGCTCTGTCTGGCCACACTTCGTGAGCGAGGTTGTGATGCAGTGACCTCTAGCGGTGCAGAGTGGAAGTGGCCCAGGCAGCTGGAGACAGATGAGCCGGGTTCCAATCCCAGCCCTGCCTTGCTCTAGCTGTGTGACTCGACTGTCACTTAACCTCTCTGAGCCGTAGTCCCTTCAACTACAAAATGCTGAAATGGTATCATACCACTGGGCTGTTACATGGTTAACTGCACGTTGGTGGCGGCTCTCGGTGAACTGCTTGGCTCACCAAACACGTGACACTGTTACTAGCCTTGGGAGCCAACCTGTGAATTGCTGGTAGCTTAGCAGTCTTGAGTCTACACATTCATCACGACCAGCCTATTCTACCTTCTGCCTTTGAAATATTAAATATTTTTGTGATATTGGAGCCTGCTTAGCAAGAACTCACTGTTCATCCTTGGCGAGGTCTTAGAAGGATGAGTGGCTTCTGCGGTGCATGGCTAGGCTTGTGCTCACTGGCTGCAGCCTCCGTGGGATTTGCAAAGCTTTCTCTTAGCCCTCTATTTCATAGCAAGTGAGTGTCTGTAGTCTTAAGAAAATTTGGCTCCGAAGAAAAGAGGGGTGAAGGGAAGTGATGGTTCTGGAACCCATCCCAAAGGAAGAGTGGGTAAGGAAAACGAAGATCTGCAGAACCTGGACCAGGGGAGCAAAGGTGCCGTCTTCCAGTGTGTGTGGTAATAGAGGAGAGGAGGCTGGCTTGGAGCTACTCCCCAGGGCAGGGTTAGGAAGAAGAACAGCAGGGTGGGCTGCATGGGAGAGGGTGTTGGGATGTGCTGAGGGGACCCCTCTGGGCTCCAGCTGCTTTGCTAGGAAATGTAGTGATTAGACAGATGCTGTTTCTCGATGATTCTCTGTCAACTGGATAGCCTGCCGTTCAGTTCAATGCTGACACCAGTACCTGGAGTGAGAGTGGGCCTCACAGGTCAAGGGGCTCCATCCCACAAGGCAGCCCCCACTCAGATGCCAGCCACAAGTCCTGGGTCTCCAGCCAGCTGGCACCTGTGTCTGATTTGGCTACATTCGAGGGGTCACATGACCCTACTTCAGGTTTGATCATTCACTAGGACAAATCACAGAACTCAAGAAAGCACAGTGTGTTTAAGATGACTGTTTTATTGTAATGGATGCCCCTTGGGAATCACCATATAGAGAGGCACGTGGGAAAGAAAGCATGGGAGGGGAGGCGTGCACAGCTTCTGGGAGGGGCTCCCGGAACCTCGTTCCCTGTGGGCTTCACGTGACGTTTTGTTGCGCCGATGTGAGGAAATCACGGATCAGGTGGTTGGGCTCAATCTCTAACCCCTCTCTCATCCTGTGGTCTGATTCCTCTGGTGGCCAGCCCCTACCCTGAAGCTGTCTAGCCCCCAACCCCAGGACCCATCTCAGTAGCATTAACTCAGGTGTGGGAGAAAGTAGCTCCTTATGAATGAAAAGCAAGAGGCGTTCCTATCGCTGGGGAAATTGTACTGGTTTTAGGAGCACTGGGCTACAAACCTGAGACAAAGACTGGATACATTTTTGATGACATGGCAGGTCCGCTTTAACATCCCTTCTGCCACTAACTTACTATATTTAGTGGCTCTAAAACTGATTATGGATACAATTCAGCCCCATGTAGGGAAACACCTTGCTGACCAGGGCGCTTAGCCCTTGAATAAGCTGCTGCCCAGGTCTGAGCTGCCTGGAGCAGGAAGTGCCCCAGTGGAGGCTGGGTGGCTCAGGCAGGATGCAGGGGAGGAAAGACCCCCGTGGAGTGGCAGCGTGGAGCAGATGCCCGCTCAGCGCTGCGGTCAGGAACGTCAGGACACAGTGTCACGTGACTGCCTCGCTTGGTTTCAGAATCGAGAGATGCTTCCGTTTTGGATGAATAGCACCGGCAAGCGGGAAGGCTGGCAGCGTGGATGGCACGGGTACGACAACGAGCTCATGGACATGCGGGGCATCTTCCTGGCCTTCGGACCTGGTAGGCAAGGAACTGACCCAGTGCTCTCAGGCCCCGTTCCCAAGGAAGTGTCTGCAAGGGGGGCCACGGGTGCCAGGAGAGGCTGCAGGGATTTCCTTCCAGACCCTCTTTATGAGCCAAGCAGAGCAAACCCAGCCGGTCTCCATGAAACAGCTTTTGCTGGCTTCCTTTCAAATGCTTCTTGGGTTTGGCAAATGTGGCCAAATACTTTTCCTTGTAAATTTTAAATCCTGAGTGCAGTGAAGAAAATGTATTCCACATGTTTGTGATTCACTTTTTACCTAATTCATCAAAATGTTATTTCACAGCTATCTGATGTCCAGGAAAGCTTATGGGACACCAGGTTGCTGACAGCTGTGGGTCTCCAGTTGATGCGATCGCTTCTTGGGGTCTGGCTCTTCCACGGGCCTTCCCGTCTAGAGCACCCACCTCAGGGAGGCTCAGTTAGTTTAGGGTCCAACCAGAAGCTGGGATGTGCTCAAGGGCAGGCGTGGAAGGGACGCTGAGCCTGACTTTAAGAATGAATGAGCCAGAATGACGAGGGGTGCCTTGGATGAGCGCAAATTTGCTGTGTCTTCCTTGACCAGATTAATTCCTAGGGCTGGGGGAGAGGGGAGACCAGGAGGGCATATCTCTCATTTGATTGAGCAGATGGATCCCTGTCAAGTCATACTTTGGAAAACTTTGCCAAACACTCTGAAGATCTCACTACTAACTGAACACCGTCTTCTCCCCAAACAAAAAATTAAAAAGGGAAGAAAAGCATTCACCAGCCCTCAACCCTCAGCTGACTGGTTCATGAGCTATCCTTCTTTCTTAACACAGTCCCTCCTCCTGTACTAAATAGAAGCAGCGTATACCCTGATACCTGTATTCTGAATGCCTTTTTCTAAATGTAGATCAAATTGTTTCAGCCCATAAAAGTCCATGTTTTCATTCGAGCGTGGTGGCTCACGCCTGTAATCCCAGCACTTTGGGAGGCTGAGGCCAGCAGATCATGAGGTCAGGGATTCGAGACCAGCCTGACCAACATGGTGAAACCCCATCTCTACTTAAAAATACAAAAATTAGCCAGGCGTGGTGGTGCACACCTGTAATCCCAGCTACTTGGGAGACTGAGGCAGGAAAATTGCTTGAACCGGGAGGCAAAGATTGCAGTGAGCAGAGAGCATGCCATTGCACTCCAGCCTGGGTGACAGAGTGAGATTCCATTTCAAAAAAAAAAAGTTCACGCTTTCCTTTCATAGTATAGGTTCGACATCACATCTACAAGCTCTGCTCATCTCTTCAATGTAGTGAGATCAAGGACATATGTCAGCATCCCTCCTCCAGCCTACCACGGTGACTCTACTTTTCACAAAATCCCTGTTAAGAACTATGAGGTGTCAGTCTCTGCCACCTCCATGGGTGCCTGAACTTAGAAACACATTAGTACAAATCCCTTTCCACATGTGATCCAGGTTCCCAAGGGAGCATTAGAAGCAGCATGAGCAAGTTCACAGAGCACCAGCGGCGTTCATGATGTGGGCCCAGGAGAGGGTTCCGAAGATGCCCGAGCATGTTGCCTTTCACCAGCAATGGTTACGAGGAGCTTCCTGTCAGCTGAGCCCCAGGTCAGATCTGCAGAGCCCAAAAGCTAAAGGCATTAGGAATGGAGCACGCTGAGGGTCACTGCTGGACTACGCTGGATACATTCCAGGGCTGTGGTGTTTCTCTGGGAGGACATTAGTCAGCAAGGCTTTCATTCAAAAGCATCACACTCTCCATTCCCAGAGGAGGGAAATAAGATCGTGAATGCAAACCAGTTGTCTGCTGAAGGACTATATACAAATGAGAGTCTCAGGAAAATTTTAAAGCAGAACCAAACCCCAAACCCCAAATTTTAAACAAGGTACCCAAAGCTGCATTAGCTTAAAGTTAAAATTCAGTGGAGAGAGTCTGTCCATTAACAGAGGCTTCGGTCATTGACTAAAAGCTCCCAGTCTTTTATAGACAGATAGATGACCCTGATGAAAATGGACTGGGCTAATTGCAAAGTGTTTTCAGGCAGATACAGTGTGGGGAGAGCCTCCCGCAAACCATCACGTTCTGGCTCCAATTCTCATGAAAGATTAAACAGCTTTACACACTGGCTGTTTACTGAGAGGAAAATTTAAGAGCAAGCCCTTTAATAGCCATCTAGCTGCACTTTGAGATAAAGGTGCATCCCTCCTGATTAACTCCATGTGCTTCTTGCTTAGGGAAAAACTGGGCATCACTGCAGCTGCCCAGATGCAGCATTAGAAGTCAGTGAGCCTGGTCCAACAAAGAGAAGGGGAGGTCATTCTGCAGGAGAGCCTCTCTCTGGTTAATCCCAGTTTCTAATTTGAACAGTCTAATCTCGCCCTGGAGAACTCCACGTTCAAGATAAGACAGCAGGAGTGAGTCAGTGAGCCGCCTGCGAGCTAGCAAGCTTCACTGGGAAAGCAGCCCCAGGTGGCCAGGCACGGGGTAAGCCTGCGGAACTTCCTCTCTGTAAGAGACCCATTTTTAATATCCAAAAAAATGTAAATGCACGAGGATAGCTTGGATTCCCAGTCCAAGTCTGAAATGCCATTTTGAGCTAATAGAGCCTGTCTGGGTCCTCAGTTGGATCAGGCGTTGTTTTGCTATTCAGGAGTTTTCTAAAACCTTTCATTCCAGCCTGGATCCCTTCTGCATCGAGCCCAAAGCACCATCCCTGCAGAACAGGAGGTCATGAACTAGATGGGATGGGAAAGAAATCCCAGTTCTCCTTTCTGCTTAAACGCAGAGAATTTGATTTCATATTTTCAATGTAAAAAGATAACATTTTCTAATACTTTCGTCAGAAGAATTTGATCTCAGTTTTTCCTGTGAAGTGCGAAAGAAGAGGATTTTGTTTTGTTTTGTTTTTTAGAGACAGGGTCTCACTGTGTCACCAAGGCTGGGGTGCAGTGGTGTGATGGCTCGCTTGTAGCCTTCATCTCCTGGGTTCAAGAGATTCTCCTGCCTCAGCCTCCTGAGTACCTGGGACTGCAGACACATACCACTAGCTACTTTTTTATTTTTGCAGAGTTGAGGTCTTGCTATATTGTCCAGGCTGGTCTTGCACTCCTCAGCCTCAAGCCATCCTCCTGCCTCAGCCTCCCAAAGTGCTGGGATTACAGGTGTGAGCCCTAATGCCCATTTGGAAGTGGATATTTGAAAGGCTGGGGGACACCTGGGCTTACTGTCGTCCACTGCCTCACGTGCCCTCCCACCCACACACAGCAAGGCATGGCCCCATGTGGTGGCGGTCGGATTAGGTCACATGAAGAGGAGACAGAAGAGTTGCTTCCATATCGCTGGAACCACCATTCCACTGACGTCTTCTGCTTCAGCTGATTCCTTGGAAAGGGAAGAGTAACCACCATGCTCATCTGATTGACTGATTTGCCTTGATACTGAGAGGGCTGACATTCTGGGAAGCCCCTACTTTTTCCTCTCTGGGCAGGTTTTATATTGGAGTGCAACAGCTCAATCTCGGCTCACTGCAACCTCTGCCTCCCAGGTTCAAGCGATTCTCCTGCCTCAGCCTCCTGAGTAGCTGAGGTTACAGACACCTGCCGGCTGATTTTTGTGTTTTTGTGGAGACGGGGTTCCATCATACTGGCCAGGCTGGTCCTGAACCACCAAGTCCAGGCGATGTGCCCACCTCGGCCTTCCACAGTGCTGGGATGACAGGTGTGAGCCACCGCACCCGGCCACGTTTTACATTTTTGAAAACGAATTTTTACTCTGAAAAGAAGCTGACCCTTATCCTCCATGCCCCTGAAGAAAAGTGAAACCTTCAAATAATTTACAAAGTGAATATATTCAAACCATGGTTTGCCCTTGTCATACATATTTATTAATAAATACTAGCAGTGACCATTTACCGAGGATACAAAATGTGCCAGGAACGATGGCTCCCCAGGCCTATTTCCTGAGGTCACAGCTAGCGCGTGCAGGGGAGCCGGCTGGTGCTGGAGCCCACACACCTCTTTATATTGCATTCAACTTGAGTTCTTCAAAGGGAGCAAAGCCTGTCACGTGGGCAGTTGCCCTGGATCTAACACACTGTGTGGCAAAAGTATCTGTATTTAACTTTTGTCCAGCTTGTAATTCTAGGATGAATAGAGGAGCAGAATTTGGCGTGGATGCCTCTGGAATGTGTTGTTGTTTGCTTTTTAACTAAAGTATTTGTGATGGTTTAGCAAAGCAATTATAAAGATTATTTTCTAATGTCTTAGAAAACTTGGCTTTACAGCCCCCGAACAACTCATTTCCTTCAAAACTTGCAGGAGAACTAAAATGTACAGGCCCAGGCCTTTCTCAGGGGCTGAAATCTCCTCCCTCAATTCAGCCTTGATGTAGCGCTGGGTATTTTGTTGGAAGCTCTGGTCTGGGGCCTAGACGTGAAGTTGTGTAGGTGTATTACTAAGATCTTGCATTCACTCTTTAAATGGACAAGTGCTTTGAATTCTGCCTCTCGTTTGCCCCTGCAGAGAAGGAGGCAGTGCCCTTGACTGAAATCCCTTCGCAGGCTTGTGGTGTCACCCTTGGCGCCCCTCGCTCCCCGCACTGTGCATGGCCACCCTCCCTGTGTGTTCCTGGATGATTCTGGAGCTTGGGGGCCGCTCTGGGCAGGGGCACAGTGATCTCCTCCATTAGATCTCAGAGGCTTCACATGGATCCCTGACTCAGCTATCATACCATTTTCCACATGGCTAACTTATTTTATCTATTGAGAAAATGCTCCCAAGGAGTGTTCCACTGATCAACATGTATTTAGAAAACCATCGCCAGGGCTGCTGAGCTAGCCAGCACCGAGAAAACGGCACAGTTTCACATTCCATCAAGACCTGTGACCTCGACGGGGCGGGACAGTGAGAAACATTCTTGAGCTGTCTTGAGCCTCTGCAGTAGACGCTGGTACTCTGGCTGTCAGCACGGCATTTCATTTGGTTAAGGGCAAGACAGTCACTCTGTGACCATACAGGCTCTACTATGCTCTGCAGACATGGAGCAGCAGCAGATGGCCCTTCAGCGTCCCCCCAGTCCCCCAAAGGAAGTGCTGTTGTCACAAAAAGAGCACAGTCTTGAGACAGGATCTCACTCTCTTGCCCAGGTTGGAGTATAGCAGCACCATCTTGGCTCACCGCAGCCTTGAACTCCTGGGCCTAAGTGATCTGCTTGCCTCAGCCCTCCGAGTAGCTGGGACTACAGGTGCACACCACCATGCCTGGTTTAAAACATGTTTTTTTTAGAGAGTCTTTCTCTTTCATCCACCCTGCTCTCAAACTCCTGGGCTCAGGCAATCCTCCCTCCTCGGCCTCCCAATATGCTGAGACTATAGGTGTGAGCCCTGAAGCCTGGCTCTGCTGCTGGTCTTTTAAAGAAATTCATCTCCATGAGCCATAGAAAGCTATTTCCTTTCTAACCTACAGCCTTCCAGATACTCCTCCACGTTCACACTCGCTAGGCCCATACCCCACTGATGGAGCTGATTCCATCTCCATGTCACCTGCAGCCTGAATATACTTCTTCCTTACTGCGCTCAGCCCGCCTCTGCCCTGGAGCTGCCATGACAGCTTCTCTTTCCCTTTCTTTTTCAGATTTCAAGTCCAACTTCAGAGCCGCTCCCATCAGATCGGTGGACGTCTACAACGTCATGTGCAATGTGATGGGCATCGCCCCGCTGCCCAACAACGGGTCCTGGTCCAGGGTGATGTGCATGCTGAAGGGCAGCGCCGGCGCCACCCCGCCCACCCAGCCCAGCCACTGCGCCCTGGCCCTGGTTCTTCTCTTCCTGCTTGCATAACTGATTGTATTGCTTGTCCCACCCCCCCCCCAAAAATACCATCTGCAAAGCAGGCCTCCAAAGCAGAATGATTTTCATTTTGTGTATGAATAATAGCTTCATTAACACAATCAAGGCCATGCAAACTGTAAATCTATTACTCTTGGATAATTCTATGCATAAAAGTTCCTACTTGTTAAAAAAGATACAAACTTTGTTTTTCCAGAAGGTAGGAAAAGCCTAGCTTTCCGTTTCTTCCGTTATATGTCATTTTCTCCTTTCTTTTCACATTGCTCGGGACGAACTCTCTGAGCAGGGGTCTGCTCCGGCAGCAACCACGCTTGGAGTGGGTACTGCAGACAGAGGTGGCTCTGGGTCCCTCTCGGTCCCATCTTGCACAAAGCAGCTCCTCAGACCAGGCCTTTGTGTGTGCCCTGTCCACACCTGGGAGCCATCCTCAGGGTCTGTGGCCACGATCCTGTAATGTTCCTTCCATCCCAGCTAAAAGGAGGTCTGGACAAAAGTGAAAGCTACTGTCTATTTCTGACCCAGGTGGTGGAATTTTTTCATCTTATACTGAGTCCCAGAAAGGACATAACTTAGCATGGATTACCAATCAATCCAAAACTCAATACATCACTAAGGATTGGAGAACTCACAGAACAGGGTGAAATATAGGAGTCCCCCTCCCAAAGTCTGGGTGCACGAAAATTTCTCCCTTGCCTTGAGGAGCAGGGAAGCTTCTTACGGACACAGGCTTCTGCGAGACTGATCATACACGGTACATCGTGGCATGAAGCCTGGCACATAGCTGGCCCTGCATGATGGACTGAGGGATGGATGGCCTGCCTGCCTGCCTGCCTGCCCTCCACCTGGGCAAAGGCTTCCTCAGACACTGCCGCTCTGTGGCTCCCAATACAGGGTGCAGACAAGAGTAATCCCTGACATGTCATTATGGGCTGCGACAGGGATGGCTTGCTGATGAGAATGCGCAGGCATCAGCAAGGATCTCAGGCGGCTGCTTGACGGGTGATGCACGAAACCTCAGTCCTGGGCACATGGCTTGCTCAACAACAACAGAAAATGGTGCTGGGTGAAGAATGGAGCAGAATCCAACATAATGGAGCAGAATCTCAGTCACTGACCAACTAACGGGTTGTTTGATTAGGAGACAGTTTGGCCAAAATGCCACCTCCGAGACCTACGTTCTTTTGATGCCCTTGAGAAGAGCCATGGAGGCTGAGTTGAAATATTTTTAGCTTAGTCATCTGTGTTTGCTATAGTAAAACCTGTAACACAAGAGATAACTGCCTTTTTACATGATCAGTCATTTATATCTATATACATACGTGTGTGTATATACATATATACATGCATACGCTTTTATTGCATTAAAAATGGGTTTTGGCTGGGCATGGTGGCTCACACCTGTAATCCCAACACTTTGGGAGGCCAAGGAGGGATGATCTCTTGAGGCCAGGAGTTCCAGACTAGCTGGGCAACACAGGGAAACCCCCATCTCTACAAAACATAAAAGATTTTAAAAAAATTAGCCAGGCATGGTGGCACATGCCTGTGGTCTCAACTACTTGGGACTCGGAAGCAGGAGGATCACTTGAGTCCAGGAGGTCAAGGCTGCAGTGAGCTGTGACTGCACCACTGCACTCCAGCCTGGGCAACAAGCAAGACCCCATCCCCCCTCAAAAAAAATGTTTGCAATAAATGAGGTACAGCTCCAAGTGAGCCTTCTTTTTGTCGAGAGAAGGCAATCTTCTCTGGGAAGATTAGATCTCCTCAGGACAATAGAAGCCTTATATGGTGTGTTACCTTGAAAACTGAATATCAACATTCACCCTGATTCAGGAAGGCTGGGGGCTGTCTCCATGCCATGAATCGTGAGAGCAAAGGATCACTGCTTAAAAATACTAAATTTGCCTCCACAAAAGATTTCTAAGGATTTATGTAATGTGTTTCAAAAGTGCCAGCAAACCATCAGATCAATTGGAAAGGCAGCTCCTCAGCCTTCGTTATCTGGTTGAAAACAAATGAGTACTTTCCAAACATCGGCAGTAGTTGTTGAAAAAGACATCTACTGTTCAAAGTTTCTTTCTCCTTAAAGGATGGTGTTCCAATGAATTCAGGGGAGCCCACTTTCCTCCACTGTGAAGGAAGAATCTCTAAGAGATATTCAGGTGATTAAATGAATAGTGGATCATCAAATTCGAGAGAGGCATAAACTTAGACACAGTCTTACATTTTTGTCTTTCCTGAACTCTTCTGCCATTTTCCTGCTTCACTCATCCTGAAAATCTGCAAGTTACATAATAAAACTTTAGGTATTTTTCTGACAAAGTGTAATTGCTCAACTGAATAAATGAATGAGAATAAGATACAAAAAAAATCATGGATCCTGGTAAACAATAAAGAAAATTCAGACACTGAGGGGGAAGAAAAAGATTTTTGCTTAAAATAATGCGGACATTTTTGATGGCTTAATTATGTGGTGAAAATTTGTTCCCTTTCATTTTTGTTTTCAAATTACATTGTTCTCCTTAGAAAAATATCCACTTGCTCTAAATGTGTTTTTTTCCATAGGAGTAAAATCTGCTAGGAATATGTATAGACACGTTTTTTCCTGGATTGCCTTTTGAATTCACTGCTGATTCCCTGACAAAGATAGTTGGGTTGACCTACCAAGGATAAATGAAAAAAAATGAGCCCCAGATTAAAGATGAGGCTTTAATTCAATTTTAGTAATTGTCATTCTGACTGGCATGAGATGGTATCTCATTGTGGTTTTGATCTGCATTTCTCTAATGATCAGTGATGATGAACTTTTTTTCATATGTTTGTTGACTGTATAAGTGTCTTCTTTTGAGAAGTGTCTGTTCATATCCTTCACCCACTTTTTGATGGGATGGGGTGTTTTTTTTCTTGTAAATTTGTTTAAGTTCCTTGTAGATTTTGACATTAGAGCTTTGTCAGACAGATAGATTGCAGAAATTTTCTCCCATTCTGATACTATTCTGATGATCGTTTCCTTTGCTGTGCAGAAGCTCTTTAGTTTAATTAGATCCCATTTGTCAACTGTGGCTTTTGTTGTCATTGCTTCCGGTGTTTTAGTCATGAAGTGTTTGCCCATGCCTATGTCCTGAATAGTATTGCCTAGGTTTTCTTCTAGGTTTTTTTTATAGTTTTGGGTTTTACATTTAAGTATTTAATTCATCTCCAGTTAACTTTTGTATAAGGCGTAAGGAAGGGGTCCAGTTTCAGTTTTCTGCATATGGCTAGCCAGCTTTCCCAGTACCATTTCTTAAGTAGGGAATCTTTTCCCCATAGCATGTTTTTGACTGGTTTGTTGAAGATCAGATGGTTGCAGATGTGTGGTGTTGTTTCTGAGGTCTCTTTGTGTGGTGTTGTTTCTGAGGTCTCTTTTCTGTTCCATTGGTGTATATACCTGTTTTGGTACCAGTACCATGCTGTTTTGGTTACTGTAGCCTTGCAGTATAGTTTGCAGTTAGATGCCTCCAGCTTTGTTCTTTTTGCTTAGGATTGTCTTGGCTATATGGGGTCTTTTGAGTCATTACTAAAAAGTCAGGAAACGATAGATGCTGGCGAGGCTATGCAGAAATAGGAATACTTTCACACTGTTAGTGGGAGTGTAAATTAGTTCAACCATTGTGGAAGACAGTGTGGCAATTCCTAAAGGATCTAGAACCAGAAATACCATTTGACCCAGCAATCCCATTACTGGGTATATATCCAAAGGACTATAAATCATTCTACTATGAAGACACATGCACACGAATGTTCACTGCAGCACCATTTACAATGTCAAAGGCTTGGAACCAACCCAAATGCCCATCAATGATAGACTGGATAAAGAAAATGTGGCACATATACACCATGGAATACTACGCAACCTTAAAAAAAGAATGAGATCATGTTCTTTGCAGGGACATGGACGAAGCTAGAAGCCATCGTTTGCAGCAAACTAACACAGGAAAACCAAACACCGCAAGTTTTCACTCATAAGTGGGAGTTGAACAATGAGAACACATGGACACAGGGAGGGGAACATCACACATGGAAGCCTGTCAGGGGGTGGGGGGCAGGGGAGGGAGAGCATTAGGACAAATACCTAGTGCACGCAGGGATTAAAACCTAGATGCTGGATTGATAGGTGGAGCAAACCACCATGGCACATGTATACTTATGTAACAAACCTGCGCATTCTGCACATGTATCCCAGAACTTAAAGCAAGAATAATAATAATAATAAAAAGCTGAGATGAGCGGCCACTTTCCCTGTCCATATGCCTTCTCTCCGGAATTGAATTCAATTAAGTTGTGAAGCCCTAAGCATAAACTACATCAGGCCCAGGGGAATCCTACAACAGTCCTGGATTCGAAGGTTCTAGTCTTTTTTTTTTTTTTAACCTTTAAAGGAACTTTGGGAGTCCATCTCAGATCTGAGTTCATCACAGACAGTAGTTTGCAAACTTTATGGGCTTTAAAGTCTCATCTGACCCACCTCTAGAGATGCAGGTTCAGAGGGGTTGAGGTGGTCCTGAGACAGCACTTTGAAGTCACGTGGACTTAAGGCTCGAGTTTGCTCTGAGAAGAGGTGGGTTCTGACCTGATCCTGTAGACCCGAGTCTCCTGGGAGCCATTTCACAATCAGCGCATATCTCTAGGGGCCATGAGGCCGACACCAGCCACTAACCTCACTTAGGTCAAGTGTCCAACCCTCCTAAACCAAAGTAGATCTGCAGCCCCAGTGGTGGAGGGAGGACCCACAAAAGGCAGACCCGGCTTGTCCTGCACTCCCTGTGGCTGTGAGGTCCCCAACGGTGCTACAAGACACTCAATTGTTCAACACACACAGCTATATTATGAATTTTCTAAGAAAGTGCTTTGCATTTCTGTAAATAGCAAGAGATTTCCAAGTGTGATTGTGGGTTTTATCTTTGTAGGCAATTTGTGATAGACCAAAGTCAGCTACTGTAAATGACTTCTAGAAAAAAGGAAGGAGGCAGTCTCAATCGACTGGTTATAAAACATTCGAAACTTGCTCTCAGGTGTGTGCTCTAGAAAATACACTTGTGTGTTGCTCTGAAATCATAAATTAGCACCTAGTACAGCACCTCAGATGTTTAATACATGTCCCATATATATGTGTTGAATAAATGTTATTAAGACTTGCTTAAACCTCAGATATCCTCTCTGTTTCTCAAATTAAATGAATTTTCCATTTTTTGGCTTGCTATGTTTTCTTATTACCCAACTAACAATATAATTATGCTTTATTTCATGGGTCTAAACATATTCTATCCCAGGCTTATAAATTAGGCATGGAAGGAGGAAGGAAGGAAGGAAGAAAGGAAGGAAGGGAGGGAGGGGAGGAGGGAGGGAGAAGGGAGCAGGAGGGAGGGAGGGACAGAAGGAAAGAGGAGGGAAGGAGGGAGGGAAGGATATTACAGTTTAAATATACTATGCATATTAACTTTTAGAAAATATATTGAGATTGAGTTCACACACCATAAATTTCATCTATTTGAAGTGTACAATTGAACAGCTTTTAGTAAATTCACAGGGTTGTGAAACTATCACAAATTTGGGGACATTTGTATCACTCCAAAAAAAAAAAGAAAAACCCCAAGCCCATTAGTACACTGGCGATCACTCCCATTTCCTCCCACTGCCACCCCAGGCAACCAAGGAACTACTTTCTGGCTCTCCAGATGTGCCTGCTCTGGACATTTCCTAAAACAGAATCACACAATATATTGTCCTTTGAGGATGGCTTCTTTCACTTAGCATAAGGGTTTCAAGGTTATAGCATGAGTCAGTATTCCATTCCTTTCATTTACAAAGAATCCACTGTATGGATCTACTTCATTGTATTTATTCATTCATCTATTGATGCATTGGTGTTTCTCACTTTTTAGATTTTCATCATGTGTTTCATTCATAAACACAATTTTGTGAACATCTTTTCACTTCTGTTGCCTATGCCACTGGGAGTGGAACTTCTGGGTCAAATTACCATTACTTTATGCTGAACTTTCGAGGAGCTAACAGACTGTTTTCCGAGTTGGCTCCCCATTTTGCATTCCCACAAACAGCATAGGGGAGTTCGAGTTTCTCTACATCCTTGCCAACATTTGGTATTATCTGTCTTTCTTAGCCATCCTAGTGAGTGTGAAGTGGTATTTCATGGTGGGTTTGTTTGCAGTTCCCCAGTCGTGAGTCAGGTTGAGTATCTTCTCGTGTGCTTATGGGCAATTGTCTATCTTTGTTGGAGAAATGTCTATTCAAATCATTTCCCTTTTTTGGTTTCGTTTGCTCTGCTGGTGAATTCGTGTCGGCAGGGGTGGGGGGTGGCTGTGCAGCTTGTTTCGTCACCCAGGTATCAAGCTCAGTACCCATTAGCTGTTTTTCTTGATCCTCTCCCTCCTCCCACTCTCCACCCTCAGAAAGGCCCCAGAGTCTTTGTTTCCCCTCTTCATATCCATGTGCTCTCGTCACTGAGCTCCCACTTGTAAGTGAGAACGCGCAGTGTTTGGTTTTCTGTTCCTGCCTTGGTTTGCTAAGGGTAATAGCCTCCAGCTCCTTCCATGCTCCACGTCATGCAAAAGGCATGATCTCATTCTTTTCAGTGGCTGCATAGCATTCCATGATGTATGTACCACATTTCCTTATTCAGTCTCTCACTGATGGGCATTTAGATTGATTCCATGTCTGTGCTATTGTGAACAGTGCTGCAATGAACATTCACATGTATGTGTCTTTGTGGTAGAATAATTCATTTCACTCTGGTTATACACCCAGTCATGGGGCTGCCGAGTCCAGCGGTGACCCAGTCATGGGGCTGCCGAGTCCAGCGGTGACCCAGTCATGGGGCTGCCGAGTCCAGCGGTGACCCAGTCACGGGATTGCTGAGTCCAATGGTAGCTCTGCTTTTAGCTCTTTGAACTTTCCCATGTTTTAACTGGATTATTTGTCGTTTGAGTTTTAAGCATTCTTTGTACATTCTGGATACCAGTCCCTCATCAGACACATGGTTTGCAGATATTTTCCCACTCTGTGAGCTTTCTTTTCACTTTTGTGATGGCATCCTTTGAAGCACAAAATGTCTAAACTTTTGATGACGTCCAACGCTGGCTTTCTCTTTCGTCAGCTGTGCTTTTTGTGTAACATCTAAGAAGGCTTTACCCAAGCCCAGATTATGAAGACTGACTCCTTTAATTTCTTCGAAGAGTGTTAACGTTTGAACTCTTACGTTTTGGTCTGTGATCTACTTTGAGTTAATTTTGTAGCAGACGTGAGGGAAGGACATGACTTCATTCTTCTTCATGAGGATATCCAGTTGTTCCCACAATACTTGTTGCAAAGCATGTCTCCTTTTCAGAGAAATGTTTAAATTATTCTGTTGACCAAAACACTTACTTTGTTTAAAAAAAATCCAAATTACTTCAGAAATTTGATTTTTGTACTTCTGGTTACACAATACTGGGTATGTAACACTAAAATGAGTATCCCGTAAATTCAAGGAGAAATATCTTCTACAGAAGGTGAACCCTAATGTTCTTGAAAACAGCTCCCATCCCCTGGAAGCACTGGGGAGGACCCTACCTTACGATTCTGCACCATCTTTTAGCTGAGCCTGTGTTGAGGCCCCATTTCCACCACCATCCTTGGGCCAGCCTGAGTCCATCTCTATCCAGCTTCACCACCCAAGTTCACCCAGGCTCTCCCAGAGCCTTATAGCTTCACCCTAGAAGCCAGTAACAGCCCCACAAGCCCCTATCTCCCCAGAACCCCAACTAGAAGTTCCACTTATCATCATTACGCAGTGACCTCCCATCAGGCTTCCTGGAGATCCGAAGGTTCTGGCTCGTTCTCCTCTCTTCCAGCCAAGGGATTTTCTAACATGCAAGTCACGCCAGCCCATTCCTTGGTTCTAAACCCTTTAGTGACTGTCCACGGTCTTGATTTAACACTTTTAGCAAGGTTAACCAGCCTGGCGTGCACAGACCCGTCAGCCTGTTGAATGAGTGACTGACTATTCATTTTACTGCATTCCTCACCCCCAGCCTATTGCCCACCCCTCCATCCCACTCCACTTTCAATTTTTTTTTTTTTTTTAAGATGGAGTCTTGCTCTGTCACCCAGGCTGGAGTGCAGTGGCACCATCTCGGCTCACTATAGTTTCTGCTTCCCAGGTTCAAGCGATTCTTCTGCCTCAGCCTCCCAGGTAGCTGGGATTACAGGTATGCGACCCCCACCCGGCTAATTTTTGTAATTTCAGTAGAGATGCGGTTTCACCATGTTGGCCAGGCTGGTCTTGAACTCCTGACCTCAGGTGATCCACCTGCCTCGGCCTCCCAAAATGCTGGGATTACAGGCATGAGCCACCACACTCAGCCCACTTCCACTTTTTAAAATCCCTGCTTCCGCATTTTAATCTAAACTCTGACCTTCTTATTTAATCCATTTCCCTTCAATTACTTCACTTTCATTTCCCTTTTGCACTGGGCAATGTTATGGTTCACAAATATCTTTATTTCTATTTCCTTACATTCATGCACATTTTATTTTGCATGAAGTTTTTTTGCAAGCTACATATGCAAATCCATTTTCCTTCTCTGTCTCGTAGCTTCTTTGGGAGCAGAACACTAGCTTGTTTTCTCTCTTTTTAGAATGTCAGGGTCTCAGGGACCCTAATAATTGACATCCCTGTACCCTAATTTCAAAACTCACAAGGTAGACACAGGGTATGGCAGATGGAGAGTTACTTACAGCAAAGCTGACAGATTCTGGGGAATGTGGTTTATAATACCGCCCCTGTGAATTGCACAGGCTTGCCCACCAAGGCCCTGCACTGTAAGACTCCAAGAACAGACGAGCAGGGAGCACCATCAGCTGTGTGAGCACAGCTGGCCCTTCAGAGAGAAGCAGGATAGGGCTCCTTCTCCTCAGTAAGGTAAATCACTTCTCCTCTTCTGGGGAGACAAGGGTGTGAAGAATGGAGAAAGGCCAGAGGCGCGACGGCAGCGAATGTCCCTGAAAATAAAGGGGCACGAGCACCAGATTCCCCACCCACTGCCTGCTTCACGTGGAGCCTCTTTGGCTCTGGGAGTACGAACCTCCATGCATGGTCCTGGCTGAGAGCACTAGAGGGTGTAAGGCCCAGAAGCAGCTCTGTTCTGTGAGACCTGCCGATGAAGGATCCAGCGAAGGCAGAATCGAAAGCAGACTGGACAGCGACGGGAAGCTGGTGGGTGTGGAAGCTGATCACAGTTTATGGACGAACTATAGGCTCGCCCTGGAGAACTACCATGTGGCCAAAGTGCCGTCATGGTGACATATTCCAGGCTTTGCAAGGACAAGGGCTTTGCGTGGGCATATGGGCTAGCTGATCAAATTCGATGCTGTGTTTCTGCATTGGCTGAGCACCTCTGCTTCTCACACCAAAGTAATTCAAGGTTAGTGGAGTAAAGCGTCTTACTGAGGGCTGTCGGACACATCACATACATCTGCATTCCTCCGTGGCCCTTCGGTGAAAAGTTTACGTTGGCATATGGGCTAGCTGATCAGCTAATTCGGTGCTGTGTTTCTGCATTGGCTGAGCACCTCTGCTTCTCAGACCAAAGTAATTCAAGGTTAGTAGAGTAAAGCGTCTTACTGAGGGCTTTCGGACGCATCACATACACCTGCATTCCTCTGCGGCCCTTCAGTGAAAAGTTTAGGTTGGCCGCTTGTAGTACTTTGCCCTGAATCCTGAACTTAAATGCACCGGACGTAGATTTCGTTAGTTCATTTTCATGTCTTAGAATTAAGGATCTAAAATACAGTATACCAATGTTCGTAAATCTCACACACTGGCATAAAATAATGTGAAGCTACTTCTGATTGCTTAAGGAAAATACCTAGTCTTTTTGTTTCATAGTTGCCTGATCTGTATTAATGGAACCCTGCCCAGGAATGATTAGAGGTGGAAAGCCTGTTCATAGCCTCAGTAGGAAAGACCAGCCTATGGTACACTAGGCAGCAGCCGGGACGACAGCCGCTCGTTTTGGTGAATACTGAACCCTACCTGCAGGTTACGATGGCTCATAATCCTCATACCAGGGCGGGTGGTGGTTGAGAGATGGGGTAAGACCTTTTCCTGTAACCGTATATTAGCAACGGTGCTTGTAATTTGTGTGGGAACCATGATCTTCAAGATCCTTCCTCCATTCTCATATATACACTGTGTATCACCAAGTAAAAACCTACAGGGAGAGGTAGAGTGGCTCCCACTTATCTAAGGGGTTGCGCAAAACAACCACATTTATGTCCATTATTTCATGTTGCATCTTAGCCTTTAGCCTTCACGGCTGGTGACTACCCAAGCCGGGACACAGCTTCTTCTCTTGCTATCATCGTCTGGGACCCTTCAGCCATCGCCTGGCCAGAGGAGCTGTCCCGAGGTCCAGTCATAGCTGTTGGCCGTCCCAGCTCTGCCAAACAGAGGCCATTTGTCACACATTCTCAACATGGACAAAGGGGGGACGAGTTGTTGAGAATCTGAGGACTGAAGTCGGAGGCAGGAGGTAGGAGGCCGGCAGTGAGGCACACGGAGGCTCAGGCCAGAGCCAGAGGGGAAGAAAGGTGCGATGACAACCCGAGGCCACCGGGAAAGCCACGGAAGGAAGAAGGCGCCAACACACAGCTGTCCTGGGGCGGTTCCCTGAATGCACGCTCCAGCGTGCTTCTTTCCCATACACCCAGGGCTCTCAGTGGACCAGGATAAGCTCCATCACTCTGGTGGTTCCAGCAGCCACCAGGACAGCTCTGAACGACCCCTTCTGGCCTGACCCACTGTCAGAGCCCCCAGCGCCACTGCAAGCCATGGCTCGGAAGGAAGCATCCCACAGCTCCCCGTCACCTCCCCCACCTCAGACCTCCCGTCCTTGCTGCTGTTTTTGTCGCCCTGCTGTGTTCGGATTCAGGGCACTCCAAGCTGGGCTCCACAGTTTTGCTGTAAGCCCTTGCCCATCAGTCGTGATCCTATGAGATGACATTTCTCCAAGCATGCTTCTTAGTTTATATCTTAACAAAAATAAAAATGATAAATTTTCCTTTCTTTTAAAGCTATATTTTCATCATGTAATTACCAGAAGAGTCCATTATGTTCTTCGCAAGCTGAAAACACAAACAATTGTATTTGATCAGAGCGGTCCGGCTTGCTCATCTCTCCACATCCAGATCCTGAAGCAGCATCAGCACACAGTAGGCCCTCAGACACTGGAGGAAGGCATGAACAGGGCATGCTGACTGTGTAATAATTATTTGAAGTTCTGGAGCTGCCTCTGAAACAACCTTCCCCACGTAGAAGGAGTCCCTCCAGAGAAGTTTCAGATTTCTAGACCCAGAGGAAGAGCACACACAGCCCCCTTTGTTGGCTAAGCTCTGTCCCCACGAAAAGATATGCTCACATCCTTACCCCTGCTAAGGTACTTGTGAATGTGAGTTTCTTTGGAAATAGGGTTTGTGTAGACGTAATCCAATTAAGATGAGGTCACAGTGGATTCGGGTGGGACCTCATTCAATGACTGGTGTCCTTATAAGGAGAGGGAAATGTGACTAAGAGACCCAGCAAAGGAGGCAGGGAAGTGACAGACCAGAGACTGGGACGGTGCAGCTGCCAGCAACCTCCAGACGCTAGGAAGGGACAAGGAGGGAGTCTCCAGTCGAGCCTTCAGAAGACTCATGACCCTGTGGCACCTTGATTTCTGTGGCTTAAAGCTACCCAGCTGTGGTAGTTTTCTATCTCAGCCACAGGAAACTAACACACCCTTCCAACTGTTTAGGAGTCAATCCAGCTCATCAAAGATTTTTGTGAGTCAGGGTCTCCCTCTGTTGCCTTGTCCCCTCCTAGCTTCTAGTGGTTGCTGGCAAGCCGTGGCTGCCATAACAAACTGCCACAAACTACCGCTTGCCCAGAGGTTGGAGTGCAGGGGTGTGATCACAGGTCACCCACAGCCTCCAGCTCCTGGGTTCAAGCCATCCTCCCACTGCAACCTCCTGAGTAGCTGGAACTATAGGTGCACCACCATGCCCAACTAATTTTTAAATTTCTTGTAAATATGGGGTCTCGCTATGTTTCCCAGGATGATCTTGAACTCCTGGCCTCAGAGGATCCTCCCACCTTAGCTTCCCAAAGTGCTAGGATTACCGGCATGAGCCCACTGCGTCCAGCCTCATCAAAAAAATCTGTGGAACTCCTCCTTCACACCGGGTACCGTGCTGTCTTCTGGGGATACACAGAAGAGAAAAATATACTTACTCTCCTCACAGAACTTACTCTACAATCATTGAATTCTTCCACTTTCTTTTCGTTTATTTTTTTGAGATGGAGTTTTGCTCTTGTTGCCTAGGCTAGAGTGCAGTAGGGTGGTCTCAGCTCACTGCAACCTCCGCCTCTTGAGTTTAAGCAATTCTCCTGTCTCAGCCTCCCAAGTAGCTGAGATTACAGGCGCCCACCACCATGCCTAGGGAACTTCTGTAATTTTAGTAGAGACAGCGTTTCACCATCTCTACTAAAAGCCAGGTTGGTCTCAAACCCCTGACCTCAGGGGATCCACTCGCCTCAGTCACACTAAGTACTGGGATTACAGAGGTGAGCCACCATACAAGGCCACATTCTTTCATTTTTGAGCAAACTGAAATTTCATTTCTATGGGACAAAATGTTCTGGTTGCAACAGGCAATGCATAGAGAGCATTTCAGGGAAAATAGGAGTCATGCAATGAAAGAAGTCACCTGCTTTCACACAGAGGAGCTGGTGGCAAGAAGCTCAACGACCCGTGCTCCTGCCAGCCTCCGCCCTGCTGCCTCCTTCAGGACCTTGCTCTATCAGATGTGCTGCTGCAGTCAGCTCTTTGCCTAGCCTGTAGAATTGTCTCTCAGCAACAGCAGGCTGTGGACCTGCTTCAAGGCCACCCTTGTTTCTCTCATCCCTATAGATTCAAATTCCAAATTCTGTCTCCGACTTCTTTCTGGGGCTTGGCTTCCCCTACGTCTCTCCATGCTCCCTGACAAGCTTCACAGAGGAGCCTATGGCTGTGCCATCCTCACTGTCTTGCGCTGGCCTCATGTCCGGATGCCCTGGCCACTCTGTGAAGCACACACTTATCCTTCGGCTCTCAGAGGCTCTGTCATGCTCATGCTCATTCAGGTTCTTGTCATCATCTTGCTTATTATGAAACAACTCACACTATATGGTAATGATTTGCTCTCAAGTTTTCTCTAACTGGTCTGTAAACAAAACAGAAGCTGGGATAGTATCTTTTCATTTGGAGGGGGGGTCTCCTTCAACACCCAACAAAGTCTGCCACAAGATAGTTGATGACTATCTGTTGAATAAATGAATGAATGACTGAATGAGTAAATAAAGAAGAAAAGGTTAGGATGGTCTGGTCAGAAGATCACCCGAGTCTGAACAGCGCTCCTAGGAGCAGGGATGGGTCGGAGAAGTTGGAGGCAGAAAACGTTCTGCAGAGAGTAGCCGCATTGGAGAAGTGTCTGGCTGCGTGACGTGAAACCCAGAGGGCAGGGTTTTCTTTCTCACATTTCCATAGCCTCCCTCTTCAGCCATATACTAAGGGAAGTGGAGCTATGGGGAGAAAGAAGAAAAGATAAATTAGCTCTGTCTTCACCACACTTAATTCAGCTTTTCAACAAATCTCTGGTACACACTTGTACGGTCATTTTTCCTACACCTTAGAAGAGGCAACAGAAAGGAACTGAGTCCTGAGCACCCGGACTTGTCACATGGAGGAGGAAGAGTCCCACTCAGCATGCCCTTTCTTCCCACACCTTCAGAGTCAGATTTGCCTTTCATTACCTTTCGGCAGCATCAGGAAGTGGGAATAGCCTTGTTTCCACCTCTCCCTTCTCCCCTGACGTTCTGCTTTTTGGAACGCCCGGCCAGGGTAATGTCAGCAGACACGCGAGGAGCTGAGTCCCCACCCTGTCTTTGAAGGAGGGGGCGTTCCGAGCACCTCCTGCTCTCCCACAGACGCAGAAGAGTGGTAAAAAGGACAGGGGTGCAGCTCCAGAGAAAAGGAGGTGAGGAGGCCTCTCCTTGCGATGACGAGGAGGGACCCTGTACCATGAGGGTGATGTAGGCTCCCTCCTGCATCAGAAGAGAGCCTCGAGCAAGTGCCCTCACCCTCTTCTGCCACGTGAGGACTCACAGAAGGCGCCATCTATGAGCAACAGGCTCTCCACAGACACTGAGTTTGCTGATGCCTCTGTCCTGACTTCCCAGCCTCTGGATCTGTGAGCAGTACATTTCTCTTATTTATCAATTACCCAGGCGGAGCTGTTCTGTCGCAGCAGCACAGATGGACTGAGACAGGAAGTTGAAACGGGGGCTTGGTTTGTGAACTGCTTGGGACATAATCTCGGCATATCCCCCACTGAGCTGTCCCCGAGGCTATTTTCAGATGACCCCAAGGCTCCCGTCAGATAGCCTCTCTACCCTCCTAAGGAGGACTTCTCTCTCTCTCTCTCTGGATAGTCATAATGAATTAAAAATTTGAACTAGAGTCACTAGTTCTCAGAACTGGCTGACCAAATTCACCCAAGGACATTATCTGTAAGTATTGATGTTCAGGCTCTGCCCAGCAGATTCTGATTCAAAAGGTCTAGAGGGGGGCCAAGTGCTGATATTTAAAAAAAAATTCCCAAGTGATTATAATGTTCAACCAGGAATGAAAAAAATGAAAACAGGAAAAAAATTAATAAAAGAAGAAAAATATTAGTAGATATTAGGCCCTTTTAAGAATCTGAAGGGAGATTTATGCTTTACATAATTTTAATATTAGAACTTGAACAGATTAGGAAATTGTGTGCTGCTATGTTGCATAAAATCATCTAGTGCAGGATGCGGCGAGTTCTTTAGTACTTTTAATACCAATGTAACAAAAACATGGCTAGAAAATGACTTATCTTTGAAACAAACCACACTGAAGATGGAAACGCTCCTTAGAGTGAATCACAACTTACTTAGAGCCATCCTGTGGACTATTTCCAACTCGTCCTGATCAGAAGTACCTACTGGCAAAATGAAACCGCTCACTGGTAGCCAGAACAGAATATTTGGGAGAGTGTAGTTGGAGAAGCAGAAGGCCGTCTTCTGAGCCACAAGATATAAAATTTTGTGGCTGACGAGATTTTATCTGTCTTTGGGGGAAACTGTCCCTCCTATTTTATTCATCAGCTTGACCTAAGAAAATTCAATCTAGCAATGAAATTAACACTGATCATAGTAAATTCAGCAGGGACCAGACAACTCAACGTGGAGAGACTATTCAGAGTCCATCAAAGGTACTAAGCAAATCCTTAATCAAGGGCTTTTATGCCATGCGGGGTCAGACCCCTCACTTCGTAGGGAAAGGCCATGGTGAGAACAGCTCTCAGAGCCGCTCAGCACCAGTAACACGTAACAGAGCTGCCACTGCTGAAATTCTCAAAGACTGGGAAGGGCCAGCAGGGCCACAGGACAGTAGGTGTCAGGGTTAATGAGGCCCTTCTCTGAATCACTTCCAGAGGCTCTGGAGCTCTTTCACGCAGGCATGCCCACAGTGGTGGACAGAGGCACTGCCCATTTTCTCCCCTATAAATGCAGAATGTCCTTATCTCGGCAAAAGGCAGCCATCCAAGTCAAGTATGGTAATGAAATGTTATTTATCAGAACTTTGGATGCGGGTATGGGTGGCAAGATAAAGATAAACTTCTAGAGCCTGAGGAACAATGACAGCAGCAACAAAGGAAGGATAAACATTCTGAACTTATGCGTGTCAAAAATTAAGCAAATTTAAGTTGAATTGATTCTCAAACAACCCAAGAACAAAGTGGAAAAAATTATAGAAAATACAATAAAGGGTGAATTTCCTTAATCTTTTCTTTTCTCTTCTTCTTCTCCTCGTCCTCCTCCTCTTTTGTTTGTTTTTGAGACAGGGTCTTGCTCTGTCATTCAGGCTGGAGCGCAATGGTGCAATCATAGCTCATTAGAGCCTCGACCTCCCAGGAAGCTGGAACTATAGACTCACAGCACCACACCCAGCTAATTATTTTTTGAGACGGAGTTTTGCTCTTGTTACCCAGGCTGGAGTGCAATGGCGCGATCTCAGCTCACCGCAACCTCCGCCTCCTGGGTTCAGGCAATTCTCCTGCCTCAACCTCCTGAGTAGCCGGGATTACAGGCACGCACCACCATGCCCAGCTAATTTTTTTTTTTTGTATTTTTAGTAGAGATGGTGTTTCACCATGTTGACCAGGATGGTCTCGATCTGTTGACCTCGTGATCCACCCACCTTGGCCTCCCAAAGTGCTGGGATTACAGGCTTGAGGGTTTTACCACACTGCCCAGGCTGTTCTCCAGCTCCTGGGCTTGAGCAATCTGCCTGCCTCAACCTCCCAAAGTGCTGAGACTACAGGCATGAGTCACCATGCTCAATCTCCTTAATCTTTAAAAAACTCATATGAAGCAAAAAGAAAATCATTAATACCTCAGTAAATAAATGAGTAAAGGACATAGATTACTATATGCAAATCATTTATATACATTTTTAAAATCATATAACAAGAGTAATCAAAATTGTAAATAAGATGTTAATTTTGCCTATGAAATTGGCAGCGGCTTTCTCAAGCTGTGGCATGGAGACGTCAGGAGTGATGCCCTGAGGGAATCCCATCCCTCTGGAAGGACGCATCAGAGGGGATACATGGCCTCAACAATGTTAAATTAATGTATCCTTTCTGATAACCATTTGGCACCTGATAAAAGAACCTTGAAAAGTACATAACCTTGTATTCAGCATGGCTTTTAAGATGTTTTTTTCTAAATTATTAACAAAGAAATAGTGCAAGTACATGTTTTAGAAATCAGGCCAGGTGCAGAGGCTCATGCCTATAATCCCAGCACTTTGGGAGGCTGAGACATGTAGATCCTTTGAGGTCAGGAGTTCGAGACCAGACTGACCAACATGGTGTCACTTCATCTCTACTGAAAATACACAAACAAAAATTAGCTGGGCATGGTGGTGCATGCCTGTAATCTCAGCTACTTGGGAGGCTGAGGTAGGAGAATTGTTTGAATCTGAGAGGCGGAGGTTGCAGTGAGCCAAGATCACACTACTGCACTCCAGCCTGGGTGACAGAGACCCTGTCTCAAAAAAAAAAAAAAAAAAGAAAATGAAAAGAAAAAAATCAAATAGCACCAGGAGAATTGTAATTAAAAAAAAAAAAAACCCAGCAATTCCATGTTCCATTTTTTTAAGTCCTCTGGGCTTGATCTTTTAGCAGCTTTTGTTTTTCTTCTGTTATATATCTCTCTGTTTTGTCCATAATCAATATACTTATTTCTTACATTTTTAGACAGTATCTATTGACTCCTAGTGTCCACTGCACTCACTTTTCCTCTCACTGTGATTATTTCACAAGTTGTAGAGGGATAACCAGTGTTTCAAATATTAAGATTATGTCAACATTGTTCACTTGGCTACGATTATTTCCTTTCTAAAGACCACGCGCTTTTCCTGGGTTAGCGACTGTCCTGTTCCGGTCACTCGTGTAGTTTTCTATATATTGATCTTTAATTATTTCCAGTGCTCTTTCACATGTGTCATATATGAATACACGCAGCTATTTCTGTAATAACATATGTTTTACTGAAAACTTCACCTTCTGTAAAGCTGTGTCTAAACGTCATAGGGTTTATGGGAAAAAAAAATGAGGTTAAAATAGGTCTCTCAAAACCTGCGTAATTTTATAATCAAAGCACTGACAAAAATGACAACTGGCATCTTTACAGATCCCCTGGAGAATGTGTGTGGATAGCTCAGTATGACTGTGATCGGCTTTAAGGATATGGAAAAGAAATGGTAGCTTATGGGTGGACACTGAGATAGTATTTGTGGAAATGAAGTTCTGAGCACCAGAGGAAGAGCAACCTGCTATAAACCAAGAGCTGCTCGAGGTTGGGGATGTTCTTGGTTGAGGGAGCCCCAAGCTCATTATGCTCATTTTTAAGTTAAAAAAAATAATAATAAAGTTCAAAGAGATTCTGGGAAGGTAATAATGGCAGCAGAGACTGCTCTTTAAAAAAAAAGTCTCCCTGAATTCCCACATTAAAAATATTGAACAACAAAATCGATAACACAGACATTTATAACAAACCTGGGTGACAATGTATCCCCAAGAACCCCCAGATACAAGTAGATGGGGTCAAGCTACCAATAGCTATAAGGCCTGCATCATGTCAGTGTCTGTGAGGGAGGAAGGAGTTGAAGCATTCATGCAGATTGCACCCCCATGACCCAAGCACCTCCCCCTAGGCCCCACCTCCCAACACTGCTACACTGGGGACCAAATTTCAACCTAAGTTTTCATGGGGACAAACTCAAACCACAGCAAAGGTCAAATACACAAGCTTTATCCACAACAGAGATATCTTGAGGTTTCTCCAGGCTGGAGGAAGAAATAGCCTCATCTCTGGCTTGGTTACCCTTCCAAAGTAGGGAATTATTGATGTGGACCTCAATAGTTGAGACTGGTCTTAGAAGTCAAGCTGAGTCATTATCTCGGCTTATGACTGATATTGCTGGG